AGGTGGCAGGCTGGAGGCTTCTGCTGGCTTACCTTCCAAGAAGTGGAGGTCAGTTGATGAGAAGAGAGCAGGTCTGTAGGCTGGAGGCCTTGGCCACACCTCCCAAGGCAACGCCCCTTTCAACTGATTGACAGCTCACAAAAGAGCAGGTTGTTTCTGTTAGGTGCAGTTGAGTAGGTAGTGACCTATGAACAGCAGAAGGAAACATGACTTGGTCCTGTGCCACCTCCACAATTGCTCCTTTGCTCAGGCCACTGTGTCAATCCCTCTCTTTGAGGGCCGTCCCCTTTTCCAATGCTCCTCTACTTTACCAAGCATGATGTCCTTCCTCAGGGATTGGCCACTCCTGCCAACATCTCTAAAGCAGGTAAGACAGTCTCGCCATCCTTGCCTCTGAGAGGCACTCTGGCCATACTTCCTCCGAGACAGATTGGCTTGTTCTCTTGGCAGTCCTCAGTACTTCCAATGTTCTTCGCCAGCACCTCAGTTCAAATGGTCTTTCGATGTACAACTTTCACATGCATAATTTCGCATGATTGAAAATACCTCTGTGCAATGAGTCAGAAAAACAACCAGACACTGAGGAGACAGGGGGCCGCTCCCATCCCCCGCCATGCTCTGTGTTGAGGTACATAGACTGGTGTGTCTCTGTCCTGTGAACTTTCTCATTTTGTTAGGAGACAAGACCAGCACCTAGGACTTCTTCTGGGAGAGGGAATACCAGCCAACATCATGCACCTCACCAAAGAGAAGCAGCTCCCGCCAGCACAGTAAACAACAACAACAAATCCCCTCACGGCCATGGAGTCGGTTTTGACTCAGAGGCCCTAGAACAGAGTAGAGCTGTCCCTGTGAGTTTCTGAGATTGTAACTCTTCACGGGAGGAGGATGCCCTGACCGTCCCTGCAGAGTGACTGGTGGTTTGGTGCTGCGGACATTGCCATCTGAGCCATCACATTAGGGGAGAGTTACTGAAGTGTTTGACCAGGTACCCAAAGCAGAACTGGGAAACAGAACCGGGAAGAGAGCAGATGCGGACACAATTTTATTCTCACATTTAAGAAGCCTGGGAGCCCAGGGTTCTGGGTGGAGGGAAGCCTTCACACTTGTGAGTTAGAGACGAGTCCCAATCACATTCTCATAACTAAGATTAATTCCCACAATATCCTCCCATAATAATGCTGCCTTAAAGTGGTGTCTTACAAGCTGATTGCTATCTGACTGGGTTCTAGGAGTTGGGAGGGAGTTCTAGCCTTTTGAATGAGATTCCATGAGATGGCTATCTAGCACCTCAGTTGTGCCGGGGGTCAAGATCATCAAGAAAAATCATGGAATTATCGAACATCAGATGAGAAAGGGCGCTTTGAGCTCACCCTGGCTCTTTAAAATCTTTCGTTTTACAAATGGGGATACTTTACATGTCTTGAAGGGGACCAGGTCTGTGATGTGGAGATTAGGATCTGAGAGTCAAGGAAAGAGAGGCGATCAGAATCGTGTGTTCACATCGGGGCTCCACGAGAACTTCCAGAGTAAGGAGGGATGACACCTGGGGGTCCTGTCCCCTCAACTGATGGAGCTGCCAGGACAGGACACTAAGGTCACCTTAGCTTAAGGGGTCTCCATCAAAAAATTTGATGGAGCGTTTTTTCATGTGTACAGCGTAATGACCTCAATCGCATCGGACAGCCAGCACCACAGGGACCGCATTGGTAAGTTGCAGGACTTCTCAGATCCTTTAAGGCAAGAATCCCCGGCCTAGAGCCTCCAGAAGACTGAGTGGCCCACCAATCTTCCTTGAACTTGCCCCAGGGAACTCATGTAGGGCAAAACACAGCAGGCAGAGTTGCGTTCGAAGGTCCTTCAGTTTCAAAATCTTATATAGGTAGCCCCTGACTCACAACATCGTCCAGTTACATCATCCGGGTCTCTTCTCTTTTTGTATCATTAGAAACTAGTGCTGCAAACGACATCGCAGCCCAAACTTGGCGGATGCCAACGTACTTGCATGTGTATATGTCATATGTGCAACCCCAGAAGACAGACAGAGACCAGATTCACAAAGATACTGATCATAGCGATCACAAGCAGAGAAAACAAGATGCTCAGGTTACATGGGAGCAGCCTTCGGATGGGCTGATTGGAAAGGAAGGCCGGTGTAAATCAGGTGCTACTGGTGATTCTTCATCAGTTTCCTGTGAGACTAGAGCTGCACTGAGCTGCCCAATCACTGATGGGCTTCCTGGTGGGGTAGTGGTTACATGTGGAGCTGCTAACTACAAGGTCAGCAATTCAAAACCACCAGTCGGAAGTCCCACAAGAGAAAGATGGGACTTTCTACTCCTGCGAAGAGTTACGGTTTCAGAAATTCACAGGGGCATTTCTACCCTATCTTACAGGGTTGCCATGAATCGGAATTGACTCACCGGCAGTGAGTGTGGTTTTGGTTTGGTGTTCTGTGCTGTGGTTGGTCTTTCACTGATGGGGAGTGAGAAACAACCATAAGGCCATGTCTTCAGCAAAGCATTTGAAGAGAAATCAGTTAGATTGGGAATCACTGAAGCCCAGACTAGTTTGTTTCAGTTCCTTTACCATGTGAGGAGTGAGAAAAACGATTGACCAGCTGGACAGAAGTTGGTATCTTCTGTTTGTTTGTTTGACCAGGTCTTTGTGAGCACATCAACCCACCCCACCCCCCCAAAAAAAAGGTTTCCATATAAAACACCTGGGTGGCAAAATCCTGCTCAGTATCTCCTGCAGTGTGGTGGCTTTAGCGCTGTGAGTGGCACTACAGGGTTGCAAGGTTGTCATGGTCACGTGGACCAGACTGTCCCAGTCTCTACAGATGTTGCTGTTGGGTGCCATGGAACCTATTTTTGACTCACTGCAAGCCTGTGTGACAGAGAAGAAACCTGCTCCAGTGAGATTTTCTACGTGGGACTTTTAATAGAAGCACGTTCTCAGGTCTTTCTCCTAGGTGGTCCAGTCGCCACCCTTACCCGCAGAATGCAATGAGGTTCAAAGTGCTTACTCCTAAGGGTTCTTTACACTGGGCAACCGGCCCAATACTTGGCGGGCCTGCCTCCCTCACACCCAGACAGCCCCCTGCTCTCTGGCTCGCCCCGCACCCTGGCGGTACTTCAGAAAGGCCACTTTTGTTGGATGGAACTTGGAGGAATAGAAGGAAGCAAGTGGGGGGCTGTGGCTCCCTTCCCTATAGGATTATGGCTCCTGAGACCAGAGGAGTGGATTCCTGTATGGGGGTGGCAAGGCACCGCGAGAGGCATTGGAGCC